TTCTGTCACGATAATCTGAAATTTCATCAAATACCTTTCTATTTATGAAAACATAAATTGGCCTGCAAAGAAAGAAGGCAAGAAAAACAAGAATGGTCATGGTTTCACCAACATATCTGACGGGAGACACTTTTCCTGACCTCGTATAACAAATAATTTGTGGACCTATCGAAGAGCATTTAATGATGTCAACATTAATCAGTACAGAAACTAAGCTGGAGAATGTTACACACATCAGAAGATGAGAAATGCATAAAATTTGTGGAGGAAAACCGGAAGAGCAGAGACCACTCGAAAGACATAGGCACATATCGGAGGACAATATTAAAATGGATATTAAATGAGCATGATTATAAGTGTGACCTGTGCTCGACCGGCTCAGGATACGGTGTAATGCTGGGCTCTGTGACCGTGCGTTTCTGGGTTCGAGTCCCGGTAAGATGCCAAGGTGTGGAGGCAGGCAATAATTTAATACAGGACAATTTGTTAAAGATTAAAGCAGGAAGTATGGCGCCGCGGTGCCGGCCGCAATCTTTGTAGGGCCACCTGCAACCTGAAATTTGTAATGTAAAACAAGTACCGTGGCTTTCTGTGCAATTTTTTGTTCCTGCTCTTCGATTCGGCGAGTGTGGCCGTCAACTACCGAAATATAGCGTAGTGTTATTTCTCTGAAGGAAGAGTTATATTTCTGTAATGCAACGTGGTACATTTACCTGAAGCCAATATTCAAACCTCCTCGCTGGCGTTCTACCTACACTCCTCCACGCAATATTCCCTGAAGAATAAGTCCATGTTCACCTGAGCTAAGTTCCCCAATTAACCCATTCAACCCCAAAATCAACAAAGGCTACAACAAAGCTGGGCGAATCCTAGTGTTGGAGAAAGGGACGGTTGCAGCTCTTACAAAAATGGTAATGAACATTCTGGTTCCGTAAAAGGCAAGGAATTTCTTAACTACCTCAACGGCTACTAACTTCTCAAGAAAGGCTTTGCACAAGCAGTTAACCTTTAGAGGTCCAAAGCCGAATTACCTATGCTAACAGTGACATTGTCAGCTCGATAACGAAACTCTTCTTGGAGTCCAAGAAAAAAACAATTCATTTTTGGCAACTGTGTTTAAAATGGGCCATCAACAAACAAGAAAAGAACCATGGGCCCTATACAAAGAGTTGCCAACAAACGAAGGTGGAATATCAGTAAAATTATTGACCAAAAAATAAAAACTCTTGAATTTTAGTCAAGCATAAGTTACGTTATAACACGGTAAACTCGTAAAGATATCCGTTTGATATCCTTCTCAAATAAATAATGGTTTGTAGAGCTTCATTAATTTACTCAATTATAAATCAAAGAAGGTCAGATTTTTAATCTTCTAAATTATACATAGAAGTTTCACATTTTAAGTGGGTGCATTTCTTTGGTTAGTTGAAATGTGTAACAATAAATTCACTGTCCCATTGCAGGGCCAAAAATCCTAATGATTTGTGGATATATACATTTGAAAGTCGTTCATTTTTATAATTGACAACCAGTAGAGAAACAATACAATAAAACATCTGACAATATGATGCATTGCCAATCGTAAGACAGCTCTGCTCATTTGTTATGATCGTTACTTAGATAATATTAATGCAAAGCAGCGGTTATTTTCTTTTAATACTCTGCCCTAACAGTAAAAGTGTTTTTCCTGTATAACTGGGGGAAATTTTTTGTTCGTAAGATAGCGACTGAGTGGAAAAACAAAGCTATAGACTATGAAATAACTGTAATGCTGCCCTTTAAGATATTATCATTATCATGAAATATAACAAATTGAAACGTGCCAATGGCTTAACGTCTAATTAATCTTTAAAATAGTTTTCTACGTGAACAAATTTCTTCTTCAGTCTAACTCCTCCCCCCAGTTTCTGAATGGTGTACTTTGGAAAAAGAAAAGAAGATTTATTCGAGTTGGTCCTATGAAGCAGCTGCTTGCGAGACTGCTTGCCACCACAATCCATCAGAGTCTGAAAGCGCCCGTTAATACTTCATTACAAAAGTCACATTTCGTCGAATGGGATTAGGACTGCGACGGAAATTAATACAAAGTAGAATGGGTCTCATATTTCTGATTAACTGATCTAAATTTTTTATGACTCTACTCCATCTACAGAGTTTAACGCCGTCTAGTGAGAATGCCACAGAAATACGAGTATGAATCTGTCTGGTAAGTGGGATAAGTATTTATAAAACGGAAATCGTGGGCTATTTTAAGGTTCAGTCCCACTGTTTGATTGTATATACTTGGAAAAATCACGATAAAAGTCGAGTCAGGGTCTACATTCGGTCCGAAAACCTCCCAAACTTTGCCGTTGCACCAAATTGCTCGGTAGTATTAACAATTTTATTCTAGCACTCCTCATTACCGATAAGTTCAAATCTCCTCTGTACAACTATTTTCTTATTTAAATACTTGGGTTAAATATGCATTATTAGACATTCTACGAGGAGCACGTAGAACATTAAAACGAAATACTGTGCATCAGTTTTGCCTTTAATTTTTATTGTATGAAATTTTATATGCCATCCTATGGAAAGAACATGAATTGAGGGCGTTTCATAACAAAGATCCTATTAAATACGTCGCAAAATAAAAACAGAACTTTCTTAAACTAAATATGAACAGAGAAACAAATAACATAACTCCAAGTGATACTAGGGTAGAATACTCTTTGTAGCAGATCCTTTTATTTCTTTTATATTGTGTCAATTTGGGAATAAAGAAACACAATTTTTGCTAAAGATATATTCTTTAATATTTTATAAAACTTGGCTAGGAATAATAAAAAACTTTTCATTATAAATAATATTATGAAATAATAATATGAAGGTCACTCAGGAGTTTTACTTATATGGGTCTTTTTAATTGTGTGCGAGATATTGCCATTTGGAGGAGGGTTTGTCAGTTTTCACAAATGTCTGAAGAAACCAAAAGACAGAATTTATTGAAGGTTATATAAACGATTGTATATTCTGTAGTCTTCTAAGTGTCTGATGAGATCCACGAAATAGATTATCATTAATAGGCTGTATAACTTTCGCCGAAAAATGTGAGATAAAGGATGGCTTTTATATTGGCTATGTTTGTAATTATGTATGTACTGCGAAACGCAAAGTACATGACTGAAAGGAATCATGGATTTATATCTCGATGGCATCTTGAATCACAGATTGGAAACTGCTTACGTACATCGTAATAGGCCTGTATATTTTAATAATAATGTTACTTAAATTGTTTTGTATTTATAAATAAATCTAACTGCTCTTCTATCTGCCACGCCGATGGAATATTTTCGGCCACATCAAACAGCAGACCGTAGGAGCCTTTTTAGAGGTAAATAGAATGAAACAGATGAAGTAATTATAACTTTTGCAGCAGATATAACATCTGGAGTGTAAATTTCTAATAACCAAGCTGAACACTGATTATAGTGACGTCATTCAACCTACCACGTCATTATCTAGAACCTGTTTCGAAAATATTTATGAGACGTTCTTATTAGAGATAAATCTTTGAAGATGACGCCACATGTAATCAAGGGGGACTGGAAATGTTTATGTATTATTTTACAATGATGGCATTTTTGTAGTTTGTGAAATGTCTGTACTCGCGGTTTTATTCTGGACACAACTAACACGTCAATTTGTTATGGCTAATGACGCCTACAACAGAAATATTTTTAGAATATATAAAGCCCCGAAATGAAAGTTCCGTTTTCTCTTTGTCAGTGGTGGGAAACGATTTTGATTGAACTTTAAATTAATTCGATATAATTATTCCAAAATACCTTTCTCGGAGTCTGGCATGAAAGAATCCATTTCACCGAATTCAGTTAACATTTAACCATCTCTTTTTGCTTGTATTCTACTTCTGTGCGTCGTTTACTCATTACTGCCACCAGTAGCTACGTGTTCCTATATTTTAAGCATATTCGTGCAGAGCATTGTGGGTAATTAGATGGCTTCAATTGAGGGGCTACGAGCGAAGCCACAATAAAAAGAAAACAAAGATGGACACTACAAAAAAGGAGGGAGGCGTTAATTGTTGTCATAAATCTAACTCCACCCTTTTTCCTTTGTACCTTCTTCCCACCTTTTTCGTCCTTACCAAATTGCAGATTTCTAAGCTGTAATGAATGTTACATTGCAATGTTCAAGTTATAAAAAGATACATTACAAAAAGAAGCAATTTTCCTCGGTTATCAATTTTGTTTAACAGCGTATCATAGTTTGTGGACTCAAGATGTTATTCTCCTGTGCTATAAGAAATTGTTAAAAGCATCGTCCTTAACTTAAAATATCACAAAATACGTAATGTAATATTTTTTTTTCTGTGTGTGTGAACTTTTGGCCAGTTTTGTCCACCACTCTCCTCCAACTAAAGCTCATGCAATGCGAATAATAATGTTTAATACTGATGTTCTTCTGGACTTCTTCCATAGTTTCATTTCCTAAAATACAACACAACTTCATTGTTTTGCTCTCGTCTTTAGTTAAAAATCTTATTCTGATCGGTCCGTGAGAAGCAGCTGCTATATTAACACCTTCTACTGGACCCACCGGAACACAATTTCAACCTGAAGACAGGATAAGAGCCAGCCGCCGAAACATAGCACCTTCTTTAAAATATTAAACGATGAACTAAGTCCAGAAAAACAGCAATACTGAACGTAATGCACCATTATTAGAACCATTTAGATACATATTACTAACGACGGCTTACACAACTACAAACTATCTCGTTTCCTTACAAAGCAACTGAATCAAAGTTAGATTTTACTAAGTTTAGTTTAGTTTACATACACTGATATTTTCAAATCTGTTTATCTGTTCATTCTCGTGTTGCTTTTCATGGACATTCGTGGCTAATTTCTTAATTAATGCCACTTGCATCTCATAAAACTGATAAGACTTTAATTTAAAAAGTTACTATGTCGTGCGTTGATGCTAATCATACTTACTTTAGCTGTGCTTTCGAGTGGATTCCAGTACACTGCTATGGCATTGTGCGCCACTTCTTCAATGCAGCCAACCAGACCAACGCTGTTTTTCGTATCTAGAAAATTAAGTCAAATTTGTTAAAAGTCATTTCACTGCTAAAATTATTTGAAGTCAATAACAAAGATAAAATAAAAATTATGAATGTGTCTTCAGTTGGCTTATGCTCTCTCCATTCAAAAATCATGTGCATCAAATCGGCTCATGCCATGTACACTTGTCTAAATTTCAGATCGACAGCTCATTATCTGCAGGCCTACTATTTAACTTAATTAAACACGCATATTACCACTGAGAAATATTATAACATGTATTTATATAAAAGCTTATGATATCGCTGGTAATAACCACTTACCATTATAATCCATAGGCCAGCTGGACAAAAATAAACCACCATTAGTACTTGCATAACATATACGATCACTCATTTGATCCTCTATATCAGTAATATTAATACTGCAAACCACAAATAAGGTATTTTGCCGGTCAGATTCTATCACTTAGAACGTTTAATTCATTTGAACCAACCAATACTGTTAAGCAGAAAAATAATCCACCGAAAGACGTTCTCGTAATAAGAAAATTAATTCCTGTTCACAAGTCAAGTAGCTCTCGATTCAATGAGAACCATAAAGAGGTAAACAAAATACCGGTTACATTTGAAATAAAATGTACATTAAATGGGTTTAGAACAGAATGAGTATTGTTTGGACCAATGGTTCCTGTTGCATGAAAAATATGGTTCCTTCTTTCAGTATGGGCTAAAGATAGAGTAAAAAGTTCAAGTTCTAAATACCATGTCTGTCGTGCCTCCAAATAATAGTAGCTTAACGACTAATTTTCTAGTTATTATGGTATTACATATAACATCACCCAGCCTCCTATCCAATGGGTACCGGGATCATTTCCCGCGGGTAAAGCCGGCCGGGGCGTGATGCTGACCACTCACCCCCATCTAGTGCCGAGGTCAAGGAAGAGAGGAGCTATACCTCCTCTCACCCCAAACGCCTACATGGCGCATAGCGGGACAAACTTTACTTTACATATAACATCTCTTCTTCATAACTGAGAAAAAAATCAGCACAGAATAAACTGGATAATTTTCGTTTACTCCAGAAGAATAACAAATTAAATGGACAAAGGTATCGGTCCACTGACTTCGCCGATCTACCCCGGTCACTTATGCCCCGAATGACTGATATTTGCACATAGATCACCATTTACTCTACAGGTGTTACACATGTATCGGAGTAGTCTGAGGAATCGGGGCGATGATGGACGATGGGTTCAAACCGCAACCAAGGAACCAGCTTTCCTAACTCAGCTTATTCGTGGCGTTCTTCGGTCTGGTTAGGCAAGCGCTGGAATAGTACCTTAACTTAGGACACGACCGTTTCTTCCCACATCCTTTAAAATGCCTTATTAATTAATAATCCTATAATTCGACGCTGAAGTCTGAGCTGATGACAGCTTCATAAGACAGACCAGAAATAAAAAAAACAAATAAATACGTCTAATTACCATAACCGAAAATTTCGGGGGGGGGGCTGTCTTCAACTTCGGCACCGAATATTAAGGCAGAATTTTCCTCTGAAACCTTGATTCGTACCTACAAGTCCACACGGTTTCACATTCCAGAAGACAGACATCGACAACATTACTACAGTAAGAAACGCAAATATCTTTCGCAAAATGTAAAATAAATACAAGATATTAGATCTGTGAACAACGTGTGTGAAGTTTCTGACAAAGTGCACTGATAAGTACAAAAGAGTTACACACCCCACACCCCCACTTATCGCCACAAAGTAGCTACCGCAGGTCATAAGTGGGAAAGGTTACTACCGGTTACTACCAGAGCCACTAATGGAGATATTTCAGACGGCGAAACACGCCCAGTCATTCTGGATAATAATGAATGAATAGTCATTCAAACGGTCAGGAAAACTTGTTAGAGGTGATCATGACAATGGTGTGAGGAAATTAAAGGTTCTGGGAGGGGGAAAAAGATTATAGTTTCAATACCGAACCACTTCTCTCTGACCTGAAAACAACAGTTGCCAAATCTGAGCGGAATAACATATTAAGTCCAGTGAATGTCTTCGTTCAAATCTGTTTTGTCCCATCAGCATTGCTGTGCCCATCCAATACTTAAAAAAGCCCTGTTTACTGAAACAAAGCCTATGATTAAAATGTCCCATTATGAACAGTTTTATAAAGCACCACACGAATCTGAATGATTCAATACTGAAAATAAACTAATTTACATTCAATCAATGTAAGCTATTCAATAATTTTTTTAGATTCTCATTTTATTTCCACTCCTTCACGAAAAGGATTTGGTGCGTTAAAACCCGTTCCGATGTTCTGACGTATAATTATCGTTTCCATTCACTCCTAGGTCTTCCTATCCATTCTTTTCCTCCAGAAGGACATATTCTATGTATGATATTCTAAGAACACTATACACGTTGCTTTGCATTTCATAGTTAACTTCAGTTACATACCGGTACAATACCTTGCAGTCTGCTTCATACATTTTTGGTTCTGTAATCTGCCTCTAAAGTTACTTCCAGCATTCGAAAATATCTTATATGAGCAATTTACTGATTGAATAATTCAGAATATAAGACCTCGGAGGGGCAGAAACCCTGATTATTTTAATATAAATAAATATTTACACAAATATATGAACAACAACCAGTATATTGATATGGGATGAGAAATTTAAGTACTCGTTATAGAAAAGTTTATTTTGCAGAAATATACTACATTCGTGGCCCTTAAGACAAATTTATTTCCTCAGCGAATGAATACACAGATACATAACAATTCATGCTCTATAGGCACACGTAAGTACAGGAAATGAAATATGTATTTGAATTCCGAACTTATTTCACCTTCCCTCTTTTCCATTGTATTAAATAATGGTTGGCTGATTAAGTATTAGTTAAAATTAATTATCAGTCTGTTATTTGCTTTATAGTTTTATTCCCAAAACATAACAGGCGACCTTGAAAAGAATTGGTCGATGAGTCACTAGCGGTGCTACTCCATCTTTTTTTCGAAGCATCCAAGTGAAGGATCATAAAATTACGTGAAATTCTTAATTATAAAAGTAACACATAATCATAAATATTCCTAAATATAGAAGAATTACTATCAACAAGACATGAGAAAATTATATGGCTACTTGTAAACATTTTACTTCAACTGTAATTTATTCCACAAAAGTTGAATTTAAAAGATCAATTCCTTCGTGTATCGTTTCAGATATGCTTACTTTATAAATTACACACAAAATGAACTGGCCTAGGACAATGTGAAATCTATGGGCGTTGCATATTTTTTTAGGCTTGGTTTTATTTTAAAGGCGTGGTTTTGTTTAAAGGGAACTGAGTTCCTTGTTAGGTTCCCAACAAAATATGAAACAAAAGAAGAGCTACATCCGCTCCTAAATAATGTGTCGAATCGACGTTTTCTTCTTGAGATGATATGTTTCCTTTCAGTGTTCTCCAAGACTTTAATTAGACTGCACACAAGGTAGCAGTACTCAAGCGTTTATTGAACGTCGAAAACTAGTTTCGTTTTGACTTTGATAAATGTTAAAACTCCGATAAGATTGTTCAGTCGTCTCGGTTATTAACAAAGTCAATAAGAAGCCATAAATAAAGTCAGCCATGTTTGCAACATTGATACAAGCCTACAGTATTTCCGATAGATTAATTATTAACACATTCAGTGTAATTTCGGTTTGAATTACAAACGTGTTAGTGAGGAAAGTCGGCTGAACTTTTAAGGGAACACCAGAAATTCAGCTGACCGTCTTCTAGGATGCTGGGCGTGTATCTGGTTGAATACCGACGTTTCAGAGGTTCTTGCTATCTCCATCGCAAGTGCAATAGTCCTTGATGGAGGAGGAATACACCTTTGAAATGTCGGTAACTTCTATCAGACCACACGGTATATTAACCCAGAAGACGGTAATTTTCATACACGTCGCCATGAAAACTTGAAATCTCACCAAAACGGAATTTGCCAAATTAGTTTTAGCACGGAATTTTGCTAATTAAAGGCACACGAATGTAAGTGTATTTGAGGGGGGGAAAGGTCAAAGCGACCCTTGCACTACAACTATTAGTTGATAAAGGCACGAGAAAGTTAGGTATAAACATTATTGTCAGCTAACTTTTTTGAACCCCTGACATAAATGTGTATCTCAGTAACATACAAGAAACGTCTTAAAACTTGACTTGCGTACACATAGCATTATTTATAGTGAGTGAATATGGAAAGTTTACCGGCGTACTGTAACATGAAACACATAATAACAAAATGGCTCAAAGTTAGCACTAAATTAATAAATATTTTCAAATCATGACAGCGTTGTTATGCGAAAATCCCTACAATCCCCAAAGTTCTTTTTCTATCTGCTTTGTATTCATCTTCCTACCCTTTTGCTTCTCTTAAGGTCACTGAAGGTGATTGAACTTTTAGTTTATGGACCACACGTCCAGACCCGAATGTCGCATGTTGAGGTTGCATTAGTGATTCTAGCTTTTCGTTTTGTAGCTGCGTCACCAAAAGAATTGATGGCATACTGTTCGTCGTACGTTAAAACACGTTGTTTATTTTTTTTCATTTAACTGATACTAAGTCTCCGCTTCTATTGTCAGATGGGAACATATATCTGTTGCTTCGACGAGTAAATTTTCTTGAATAAATTCGCATAGGTATTTAATGAAATAAATCTCTTGAAACATTTCAGGTTTTATATGATTTCATTTCATTTTGGATTCAGTTTTCTTGGACGTATCTTTGTAATATTTCATTTTCTTTTTATGAAATGTTCTGTAGTAAGAAAATAAATCGCCATTACTACAAGTCTTTTATTACATTCAAAATTAATAATTCATTATCACGGTACAAATTTTCTATGAAAATCGCTGGCAAAGTATGCTCTGCCAAACAGAGAACAGTACAGCAAATCATTTACTGAGTGTGTTAAATTTTGAACAATTTTGAAGTCTAATTCGTCGAGAATAAAACACCAAACAT